ATAGTTGGAGTTAATGGATATGTGTCCCTTAACCAAAGGTTGATAGTGTGTGCCTATGTAAATTGTTAAAAAAATTGTTTACTCAAATTTTAACAACCTTAACAACTAATAAGTTAATAAATCATCGACAAACAACTTAAACTAATGTTTCATCTAAACAACCTAAATAATAATATGTCATCAAAAAAATCTTACAAAATGAACATAGTAGACTAATATATTGTAAAAAAAATTTTAAACATGTAATATTATATAAAAATTTCATCTTAACATCAAATATTTCTCCAATAATTTATATGAAATTACATCCACAATCAATCTGAACCATATTATCTATATATCTATCTATATCATACATACTTATAAAGCTAGCATTTTTTTTTTTTTGAATCTCATGCATTTGAAACTTTTTTTTTTTTTTTTTAAATTTTCGCAAACCACATTCATTTGAACCTCTTTTTTTAACTAATGCAACTCAAAAGTTTTCTTAATTATAATTTAACACACAAAAGTTTTATAATTTATATTATGTTTAATTAGCATTTATTGAAAAGTTTACTATAAAAAGGTTAATCTTTTGTATCTTTCGTATTATATAAAATTTTTCATGTAAGAAGGATTTGAAGATATTGTGATTCAAAAGTTTTTTTTATATAGTTAAATCATTAACAATCCAAATATGATGATTTGAAGAATAAGTTATGTAGCATCGATGCTAAATTCTAATTTTTAATGATTAGGAGCGCCAAAGCTAATCTAGTGCTATAAGTTTATAATTTTTTTTTTATCAAAACCTCTTATTGAAGTTATATTACTTTAAATAGTTTTATTATTTATATATATAACTGATGTTGTGATTGAATAATTAATTATCTAAACATAATTTAAAATATCATTAAAGTAAATAACTATTATAAGACTAAATTATTGAATTTGTTTTACAAATACAATTGCAACCATGTATATATTGTTTTTCTAATTTCCCATCTATGTAACCGTAGTCCATAAACCTATGACCTAACCCTTAAGCTATAAACAATGAGTTATAATAAAGTCCAAATCCTAAGCCATTAGCCTTAAGACCTAAGATCTATGTTTTAAGCCTCAAGTCCAAAGGCATATAATCTTAGGCACCACACCTTAACCATTAATACATAAGCATTAGGCCATGAGTCATAAGCCCCAAGCCACAATTTACAAGCCTTATGCCTAATTCCATAAGTGTTAAGGTTTTTGGCTCATGACTTATAGCTTAGGGCGTAAAACATAGGGAAATGGTTTATGATTTTTGGCTTAAGGTCAAGGGATTAAGGCATACGACTTACAACATAAGCCATTAGGCACAAACCATATTCCCTAATCCTTAAACTATAAGCCTTAAGTCCTAATTCCTAATCCATAAGCCATAAGACATTAACCATAATCCATAAGCAATAAGCAAGATGACCTAAGCCATAAGACCTATGGCACAATAAATAAGCAAAAAACCATAACACCTAAGTTGTAGGCCCTAAGCCTTAAGTCACAAACCATCATCCCTAAGCCCTAAACCATAACTCCTAAGCCCTTAGCCCTAACATATAAACTATAAGCCTTACACCCTAAGTCATACCACCTTTAACCATAAGCTATAAATCATGAGTCATAATATATAAATAATCACCAAGCCATAAGCACTAATCCATACATCATAAGATTTAATTTGTAAGCCCTAATCCTTTAATAATAAGCAATAAGCTATAAGGCATAAACCCTAAAACCTAAGCCATAAGCATAAGCCTTACACCTTATGCCTTAAGAAATAAGTAGGAATCGTTAAACCATAAACCATAAGCCAAAAACCCTAAGTCCTAATTCCTACACCCTAATCCCTCAATCATACACCCTAAGCTCTAAACCACAAGTATTCATTTGTCAGCAATACGCCATAAGCCATACTACCATAAACAGTAAGTTATAAGCCCAATGCCAAAAGTAATCATGCCTAAGACATATGCCCCAATCCATCAACCTTAATCCACATGCTATAACACATACACCCTAACCCCTAAGATACAAGCCTCAAGCCTAATTTATATGACCTTAGCCACAAACCCCACCCCGGCCCCACCCTATCCCCAACACTCACCCACAACCATCCATGCTTTTATGATTCTAAAGTTCTCCAAAATTAAGAATTACACCTATCCATACATCTCCACCCCACTCCGACCACCCACATACTTTTAGCCCCACCTACATCCTACCATTAATTCTTAGTTAGGTGTTATTGGGTGTAGGAGTAGGAGTGGGGTGGATAAGTGTTGAGGCTTATATCCACCATCACACCCTTACTCATCTCATGCCCACACCTCACAACTACACACCCATTTACATCCCCACCAATACATACCTTAACCCATACCACTATATAAATAGCTAAGTTGGATGGTTAATACAAAATGGCGAAACATTGGTGCCAATTCAAGAATTACACATGTAATCCCTTAAAATCAGGAACATGGAAAACACATTCTATTAATTATCAATATACCCATGAAACCCCTAAAAAATCATATAATTTTGTCTATTTTGTATAATCAATTTCAATGGATATTTTTTTCTCATTAAATTCCTTAATCAATTGAAAATACAAAATTTCACAAAAAATTAAAACTCCCTCTCATATGTTTGTTTTTATCATTTCACTCTTCTTCTTCTTTTCCGCCAAAACATGCTATAAATTGATTCTTATTTTGTTTTCTGTCTAACATTTGACATCTACCTCACCTGAACCACATCACTTCATTAGTAAGGGTGTGTTTGATTTGGATGTTGATTCGGTCCCCTATGAGACATTCAAGGACCAGAACAAACTTGGACAAAAATTAAGTCTTCTTAATATGCCCTGATCTTTTCCTTCACTGAAAAACATAAACTATGAAATCAAACTCCATAGATCATGTCATCTCTGACTAGAAAACCTCCAACTCAGGTGTGAATTCAAGTAATTTGCACCTTTTTAGATTCAAAGTTGGTTACAATTGAATCTAGTTTGCGTTGTTGGCATTTAATCATTGTTAATATTTAGGTTTTTGTGACTCCGAAGCAAGCATCAGGGTTTCATATTCCGATTAAAGATGTAATTCATTTGTTTTGTACATGTTGACATCACTCCAACTGTTATATGACCAAAATAGGTCCCAAAAGTCAAATTGACATATGACCAAAACTCATTTGATGTATGCAATTCCAACACTCTTCAAACGAAAATCATGATTTTTTTTTGGCAAAAAGTATTCCAAAGTCTAATAATAAGTTATGTAGTTTGCATGGGACTTAATGGCTCTATATAAGTCAAATGGTTGACTAATCAATAAAGAGTATTTTGGTGAAGACTATTCTTTAAATTTAGACATACACCAGTACAGAAAAATAATCATTACATTATTATATTAACACATTCAATTACCATACTATAATCATATTGATCATGCATTATATTTCTTCATCAGACCTTCGATGAAGGTGTTTGACGGTGATCCCAATGCTTTCAAACGATGAAGGACGATGTTTTTGCGTATTCCGTTGAATTTGTGGTTAGATTTATAAATTAAAAAGAATTAATATTATACATTATAAATAAATTAATAATCGAATAGAATATTATTTATTAAATAACCGATAAATTAAAAGTGATAATCCAATAAAAAAGAATTAATCAAAAACAAAAAAAAATTAACTAAAAGAAATTAATTATTCAATAATAAAATATTTATTAGGATATAATTATTACATATTAAAAATAATATTTATTAATATATAATGATCCAGTAATAAAGAATCACTCCAATTAAAAAATTAATTAAAAGAAATTATTGATCAAATAAAACAATATTTATTAGTATATAAGTATTAAAAAATAATATTCTTAATATATAATAATCCAATAAAAAATCAAATAAAAGAGGAAGTAAAAAAATTAATAAAAGAAATTAATAATTCAAAAAAAAATATTTATTATTAAATGAATATTGTTTACGAAAAATAATATTTTTTAATATATATTAATTCAATAAAATTAAAAAAAATGATATAGAAATGATCCATAGAATTTAGTTAAAAGTCAAAATTATTGAAATAATCTCTTTGAAATGACAAAATCTATAATTCTTCAAAAGTTTAAACCTTAGCGATATATAATTAAAACTATAGGAACAATTTTTACAACATTATAAATATAATTATCAAAGTTACTATATATTGACTTCTGTTATTAACATAAATTTTTTGAACGTGTCATTAATTATTAGTGACAAAAACAAACCGTTAACAATAATATTATATTTAATTGATAAATTTTTTGAAAAAGTATTACTATTAATGCTAAAAATTAATCATTATGTATACGTAAGAATAAGTCAATGATATTAGAATGTCCTATTTAGTTAATTAACATTTATAAAAGAGAATCGACAAACACTATCAAAAATAGATTGTATAGGTTTTTTTAATTAGTTGCATACAAACTAATCTATATTTGTTTTTATGTATGACGTTTTGTTTAATTCTCAGAAAAATATGTAAATAAAAAACTCTTAACTTTACCGAAGTTCTTATTTATATATATATATATATATATATATATATATATATATATATATATATATATATATATATATATATATATATATATATATATATATATATATATATATATATATATATATATAGGGAAGGCTCATGCAAAAATGCAAACTATATGTAAAAATGAAAGAACCAATCGTATATTGCCACATCATTATTCATGTTTTCTTCAATTTATTACTTAAATTTAATAATAAAGGGTAAGATAGTAATTAACATAAAATAGTGATTGAAATCGTTCTTCATATAAATAACCGTAACCAAAAACTGACATATTAATATGAAAATAACTTCTTCCGTATGTTTATGATCGACAAAAACATCTCCATTAAAATCTTTGATTGATTTATAAGTTACAATATCAAACTGAAGAGATGTCTAGTAAAGAATATGAAGATATTTGTTCTACTTACTTAATTGATAAAGCAAAGGAATCTTCCCAAAATTTAACTATCGGAAATTCAATATCAACGTTAGATGATGTTGATAAAGACAAGTTTTCATTCTGTATAATTACTATATTTTTGATTCTAATATTAAAAAATTATAAATACCTAACATTACAATACTATGATACACACTCATTACATATATTTTTACGATTATACTGAAAGTTAATTTCAACCTTCAAACTGATGTTCAGGATCCGAAGAAAAAAAAAAGTTAATCGTATGATTAATTAGATTTCATGTACTAAATATTTACATATAAATACTAATTTCAATAATCTTTCTGGATATTGGACAGGAAGTAATGAATCGGAAGACTCATTCAATGTTTTAACTATTGAACCTTCAGAATCAACAATCAACAATGGTGATAAAGGCAAGTTTAATAAATATTAACATGAATATTTCTGATGTTATTCAATAATTAAATTTAAGATAGATTACTAAATTCTATAGAACAATTACTAATAATTTTAAAATAAACAAACTGACTCTGAAGTTCAACTTTCAAAAGGAACTACAAGTGCAGCAGCAAAAGAAAAGGATAAAGGCATGTTTACCTAATTTATATTAAATACATAATTATGAACATATTTAATATATTTAAATATTGAGCTTTTTGAATATTTGACAGGAACATCTTACATAACTCAAGATGATGTGTACATTCCACATGTTGCTGAAAATCTCATTCCTAAAAAAGGACAAATTGTGTCAAGTTTAAATGAAGGAATTGAAATGTACAGGAATTATGCAAAAGCTGCTGGTTTTGGAATTAGATTAGGAACAACAACCAAATACGGGGATCTAAGTCTAAGGAAAAAACAAGTAAGATGCAACAGATATGGAAATCCAAAAAAAAAAACCATTGATACTCTTACATCCAAACGACTGAAAAAACAGGAAAGAAAATCATATTCTAAGGTCACAGGATGTATGGCAATGATTGGTTTTGACAGAAATGCTGCAACAAATATAATCACTGTATATGCTTTTGAAGACACTCATAACCATCCACTTACTGAATTTAATGAAGAAAACATTTGCTCTCCAAATCATCGTCTTAGTATTTTTGATCAAGAACTAATTGTTAAAGCTTCAACTATCAACATTGGTGCCACAAAAGCACACAAATTAAGAGCATCATTAAAGGGAGGATATGATAATTTGCCAGCAACAAAGAATGATTTCAAAAACTTTTGGAGAGATTATACAAATATTGTTGGACCAAATGATGCTCAATGTGTTGTAGACCAGTTGATAATTCGCAGAGATAATTATCAAAATTTCAATTTTCAATATAAGTTGGATGATGATGTGCTAAATGCTATGTTTTGGGTTGATGAAACAGGAAGAGAAAACTACAATAAGTTTTCTGATGTTATATCAATGGATGCTACTTATAGAACAAACAGGTAAAATTTATATTTATTACATAATATTACATAATAAGGGATAAATTTTACAAATACTTTCAGGTACAATATGATATTTGTTCCTTTCACTGCAATAAACAATCATGACAAGACAATCAACATTGGAGCAGGACTAATATCAGATGAAACAATTGAATCATACTCTTGGTTGTTAGAAGCTTTTTTGTCATCACATAAGAAGAAACCAACAATGATTCTATCAGACATGGATGCAGCATTATCTTGTTCAATAGCAAAGGTGTTTGAAGGATGTACTCACAGATTATGTATGTGGCACATAATGTCAAAAATGCCATCAAAGGTAACAAAAAATTTAATTTAAACAATTACATATAGCTTATGAAAATATACTAATAAAACCAAATTTAACATGACAGATTGAAGCTGACTTAGTTTCAAATACAGATTTCAAGAAACGAATAAATCAACTAGTTTGGAATATGAATATTAAACCAACAGAATTTGAGAACAAATGGGATTTGATGTTGAATGATTTCATTGAAGGAAAATAAATGGTTGGCTGATATGTTCAACAAGAGAGATAAATGGATTCCATCCTATTTCAGAGATATACCAATGTGTGGACTTATGAAGACTACATCTCGATCTGAAAGTTCTAATTCCTTTTTCAATGTTTTCTCAAGTCCAACAAACTTACTTGTTAATTTTATGTTCAACTTTGACACTGCACTTTCAAAGCAGCGTCATGAACAAAAAAGATTAGACATTGCATCAAGAGATACTTTGCCACAACTACTATTTCCAAATGAAAATTTGAAAATAGAAAAGCATGCATCATTGGTATACACTCGAGAAGCATTCATAAAAGTGCAAAAACAAATAAAAAAGGCATTCTATCAGTGTTTTCAAAAAAATTCGGTTTTGATTGATGGTCTTCAACAATGCACAATTGTCTACAAAGAACTAAAATCAGGCAAGCGGCCAGAATTTAAGGTATTCAATTATGCTACTTCATTATTATTTTAATTTAACATTATTTATAATTTATAAATATATTTTTAAAATAAAATTTTATTATTACTTCTCAGGTTTCTTTTGATGCAAAAGATGAAACAATTGAATGTGAATGTTTGCATTTCACATTTTTTGGAATCCTTTGCAGTCATGCTTTCAGAATTCTTATAGATTATGACATTGCCATGATACCTGAAAAATACATTCTGGATAGATGGAGAAAGAACATAGTGGATATTGGTTTTCAAAAGATAAACAAAAAATGGAGAGTGTGCAGTACAGAAATTTCAAATCTCTTGCAGGATGCAACTTCTTTTTTTGAAAAATGCGTTGAATCGGTTATTCATGATAAAGAAAAACTACAAGAATTGGTGAACTCTCTTCAACAATTAAGTGAAACTTGTGGAAAAGATGTTTCTACAAGATCAAGTTCAATTCCCATAAAAGATGTGATTGAAAATATCATTGGAGTTCCAATTTCAAGTGATGTGAAAATCAAAGTACCAAGTGAGATAAAAACAAAAGGAAGTGGAAAGAGGAGTCGAATCAAAAGTGCTGCAGAAAAAGCAATAGCAAAAGCACTTAAACCAAAACGCAAATGCAAAGGATGCAACCAATTCGTCAACCATGATATAAGAAATTGCCCAATAAATCCTTCAAATGTGCTTAGGCCTTTCAAAAAACATCAGTAACTTATATATGAATTTTAAATTTGTTTGTTGTTAAGCTTCTCTGTATTAAAACTATTACTATTAATCGCATTAAACAATTTGAATTTTGAATTACGTACCTATTCTTTTTCCTTCAACATCTTCTCTCCAACTCTTTTGACCATGTCTTTTGACAAATGTACAATTAAAAAAATTAACTCTTTTGACCATGTCTTTCACATACAAACCTTTTCATCTAATAGAACTTTATATTATACACATGTATATACACGCAACAAATCTTCAACAATGTATAATACTACATAACCTAATAAAATCTTTCATTTATTAGTTAAATCTTTTCATAAATGGAGACGTCAAATCAACTTATTTACAATAAATACAAATGTACAATTAAAAATATTAACTCTAATGAGATTGAAAAATATAATATTACATATTACACATGTATATATACGCAACTAATCTTTAAAAATATATAATACTATATTACCTAATAAAAAGTTCCATTTATTGCTTAAATCTCTTCAAAATTTACAATTAGAAAAAAAATTTAATAAATATAGAAGTCAAATCACTTAAATACAATAGATACATACAACCCTTTCACATACAAACCTTTTCATCTAATATAGACTTTATATATTATACAATAACTACATATAACCCTTTCACATACAAACCTTATCATCTATTCATAAATGGAAAGGTCATATCAACTTATTTACAACAACTACAAACCATTCTATCACATAAAAACCTTTTCATCTAATACTAACTTCATAATTTACATTTAAAAAAAATTTAAAGAAAAATAAATGTAAAAAATGTATATAATAACAATACTGTAATCACATTATAACATATAAAAAAATATTTGCTATATATCAAATTTATAAAAATAGGTAATATATTATTTTGACATACATGTCTTTAGGTTAGTACGTAACGGTTGTTGGTGACTTTTGGAAATGAGCTTAATGACTTATAGATAACTATACAGATGTTAAGTTTGAAATGCTAAGCAAGTTATCTTTGTCTCATTTGTTAATTATGAAACTCTTATCATATCTTTTTGATAACCCAATTTTGAATTGTTAAAATAATAAACTATTTGAAATTATGATACTTTTTTCGAAATTTATTACTTAAATGATTTCAAAAATCTTTCATTTATTACTAGAATCTATTCATAAATAGAGAAGTCAAAACACCAAAATTACAATAAATACATACATTTCTTTCACATAAAAACCTTTTCATTTACTAATAACTTTATAATTTATATTTAAAAAAAATTAACATAAAAAATATGTAAAAACTATAATCAATAACAACACTATTATCACATTATAACATACAAAAAAAATTATTTTCTATATATCAACTTATTAAAAATAGGTAATATACCGATTACTTTTATAAAATACAAAAAAAAAAAAAATTACTTTCATAAAAAGATAAGTATTATCATCTTCAATGTATAGATAACATCATTAGCTAAACCTACAACCGCCAAAATAGCTATACAACTTTTTGAAGCAAATGATGGCAGAAAATTAATTACTCCTCTACTTACTCCGATTGTTACCGCTATATATTCCTATTAAACATAAACATAAACTTAAGGAAGAAAACACATACATTGATGGCTTCTGAATCATCCCTTTGGGTAGTTCGAAACACCTCGGATTATCTTGATCTTTACGACACATATGGTATGTTCTTTATTGTTACAATCGTATACTATTAATACTTATATAATATTATTTTCAATATTCATTCAGGGTGGGACAACAAAAACTACTTCACGATGATGCTACATCATGGAGGAAATTTCGAATACTACCCAAATCGCGATTACGATGGAGGCAAGATTGACTATATAGACTTCATCGAGGTTGAAACTTTCTCCCCAAAGGTATTTCAAAGCATCTTAACTTCTTTTGGTTATGATGTTGAGACAACATATGCATACTCTCTAGTCTCCTTTGCTCCCTTAGACGTTGGTCTAAACAAGCTTGCTTATTGGAATGATTTCATTAACTTTGTCAAAAAGTTAAAACGGAAGGGTTTTTTTGTGTTCAACAAGTTTATTTGGAGCATAATCAAACCACTGTTACAAACTTCTTCCCAAATACTTTAAACTTTGCAACAAACAGTTATCTGTGCACAAAACTCTATTCATCAGTTGCATCAAATCCAAAAATTACTGTTTGGGAGGCTAGGATCATGCTTTTTGACAAATTCAACTTTTGGATCAATGTTGACAAACTCATTGAAGCTTTGGATTACACCAAGTATCAAGTGAATCTTCTGGGGAAGTAGATGAAGCTGCAAGGTGAAAAGTTGGGAATTTGGAATTTTTGGGCTTTTGGGTTTTTGGGTTTAAGTAAATGGTGTTATTATTATATTTGGACGTCTTTATAATATGTTTATGTGATCAAACTTTTGGTATGACTGTAATGGGGACTGTAATATATTTTTAAATATTATGTATGGTGGTTGATATAATGTTTATATTATATATTATTGTTGATATCTTACTCTGAAAATTTTAGATATGATGGTTTTAAAAATTATAGATATTATGTACTTATATATGTTAATATTATATATGATTGTAAATATATTAACTTTATAAAAGATTATACATATACAATCAAAATCAAAACCAAAAAAACTTAGCCACACTATTCATATATTATTATAAACTTATGTTCGTAGAAGTACATTACATAAAACCAAAACAAATAACAACCAAAAACAAACAAACATTTATAAAACTTCATAACAAATTGTTCTACTTACTCATTCATAACCATTACTATTAATACTTCTACATAAACATAACGACTTGAATTTTACTTCAACAAATATATATCAAGGACCAAAAGCAGCTAACCTAGCTGCTATATTGATAATGCCTTCATGATACATTACACGCCTGTCATTTGAAGAAATCTTTTGATAATCAACAAGAAGTTGCTCAACTTCATTTTTCATTAAATTTACTTCATTCAACAGAATTTTCATAGATATCTTCTTCGAAGATTTCTAAGTTGCATAATCTGCTCAACACTTTCCATTTTAAACCCACATCTCTAATGAGCTAAAGGACCACCTTTATAAGTTTCCATATGACGCATCAAAAAAATCCCACAATCATTACTGTTACCTCTTGTTTTCCACGTCATATATTGATCAACAAAATCCATTTCATACATAACTGAAAAAGCCATAAAATGTTTTATGTCTTGAAGATATCTACCAAACATATATTTCTGCATTTAAATATAAACAAAAATTCAATATAATTTATAAAAAATATATACATAACTCATTAATATATATATAAACATTTAAACAAAAAAATACAAACAAACTTACCAGATTTTGAGTTAGATGTGGGTATGGTTTTTCAGAAGATCTATACAAAATGTTGTCCAATATGACAGCTTTGCGGTTTTTAAAATCAAAAACAAACACAAAATAGTGACTGTTTGCACATGCAAAGAACACCTAAATAAACATAAACAACTTCATAGTAAGATACAAACACAAATAGAATAAAATTCCAAAAAAAAATTGAACTTACCAAATCAATTCCTTTTAAATTTCTTCGTTCCTTAGACTCTCCCAAACAATGAAAAACATTTTCTTTAAAATTCTCGTACACATCATCATATTTACATGCTTCACTATGCATGTATGCAGGATCCTAAATAAAAAACCAAAGTTCAATAAACATCATAAAAATATACTAACAACTACTATACATACCAATACTGCTGTCTTGAAGAAGAAACATGAAGGAGTGTCCAAATTCCTAGCTCTCTCATCATAGTTCAACACTTCAACAAAACAATCAATAGTCCCAGAAAAAAGAAATTCTCCGGATATAAGCTCTCAAACATGTATCTTTCACCACGTTGACCATTTATGCTATGAAAAAGATCATCCCTATTAAAATAAAAAAAACATTAGCTTAAATATTATTATATATATATATATATATATATATATATATATATATATATACATATACACAAACACATTACGTTGGATTCCCACATAAACTGAATAGCCAATTAGACTTGATATTCTCCTCCTTCGTCAAATTACTATCAATCTCAACAGCTCGTACAACAAATGGAGACCTAAGCACTGGAGGTAACGTTTGACTTCTCTTTGGTCTCGATGAAATCATATCTTTCTCAAGAATTTTAACTTTTTCACTTTCATCGCAAGACTTTGGTTCCTTCCCTTTGACTGAATCAGAACTTATTCCAACAGAAACAGAATTATTGTCCACATAACTATCAATACCTGGATTAACTTTTGGAGGAGTATATATATCATCCTCAATTCCTAAATTAAAAGAAGGAATACTCTCAACTACACACTTTTCCTTATGACCATCCTCGCAATCCAGAGGCAACTTATTTTCAATAAATCCATATTTCCCAATCAAATTTGCCGATCCATATTTATTAACAACAACACCTGGACTCACTTTTGGAGGAGTATGCATATCATCATCAATTCCTAAATTGAAAGAAGGAATACCCTCTACTACACACTTTTCCTTATGACCACCCTCGCAATCCACATGCAACTTAGTTTCCATATTTCCAGATTTGCCAAACGAATTTGCCGATCCATATTTATTACCACCAACGCTGTTGTTAATAGACTGCCCAACATCTAGAAATTCATTAGACTTATCATCACAACTACTACTTTTTCCAGATGACTGAAAAGGATATTCGCATTTATAATTACTATGACGAAAAGCTTTATATACAGAACATAACTCTTTCAGCTTCATTCCATAAAACTCTACTATTTTCAAATTTCCATGCGTTTTAAAGGCTTTATCCACTTTCTTAGACATATCTACTAAACACCACTTCATTTCTGAATGAAACTCCTGATAACAATAAAAAACATAACAAATTATAATTAATATATATAACTTAAATTTTAAACATAAAACAACATACAAACAAATAAATCAAGTTCATCTTCAAAATACACAAATAACATTACTTACTAAAATTGATCCTCTATAAACTTCATCAACACTTTCCACTGTAGCAGATGGCCTTCCAAAACCTCCATTAGAAATTTCATTCATTTCTCTCACTTTCAACTGCTCTAAAGTCCAATTATTAATTACTGGATATCTTCTAACCATTAACATTTGCCTACATTGAATCCTATCAACATATAGCAACTACAAAAAAAAACAAAATATAATAACAAAATATAAATATTACTAATATTTTAAAAATATTTACTCAAACAACATTAAATTACATACCGTTAGAAAGACACTTGGACCATTGAAGAAGGTCTTAATATCACTTCTACCCCAAATCAACTTTTCCTCTTTTACACAATTTAAACATACGTACACCAATCAAACTTATCTAACTTATATGATTCAGACAAATACGGTAGAAGCTTCAAATTGCATGCACCTTGTTTGTTACATGATCCAAAACATGTACATACAAGAATAATAAAGTTTGCAACAAACACCATATCTGCTTCACATCGTTCTATTATCTTGTACACAACATCATTTGGAGTAATTAAAGACAACGGCTTCTTGAATTGATCTTTCCATATTTCATACCATTCCTCATTACCTCTTAAATCAACACTATTTAATTGATCAATCCGCATAGGCAGCCCTAACACCCTATTAACATCTTCCCTTGTAACCAAAATATTAGAAACCTCAGTTTTAATAACCATCTCTAAAGGATCAAACGAATCAACAACAAAATAACATAATTTTGCTGGAATACTTTGAGTCTTCATGTCTATCAATGATCCAAATCCCAAATTCCTCACACATTCTTTTTGCTTATGATTCATAGACTTCACAACACCATATATAGAATGAAGAGAAACACGAGAATACAATGACTTTATTTTATCACTATGCAACTCCATTTTCTTTTTAACTTTCTTATCAGCTATATTATCCACCCTCTTCACACTACTACTGGAACCATCCTCAAAATCAGAATCACTAGAAAACTCTAGAACAAAATTATCAACATACAAACGTTGTAAAATAATATAAAAAAATTAATAAAACATAATCAATAAATAAATAACACAATAAATAATAAACATTATATTCAAGTTTACCATGTTCGGAGACAATTGTTTTACTAACTTTTCTATCACTTCTGTTAACCAACTTCCTGCTCCTTGTAATGCTCCGAACTTCATAATCAGAATCACTTACATAATCTAAATTATTTCCAACAAAAAAAAACTATAATCTACATTAATAATAAACTTAAATAATAACCACATAATAAAAACTAACCTTCTGAATCAGATGATTTTGAATTTAATCGACCAAACAAACCATGTTTTCTCTTTTTCATCGAACTATAATCAGACTGAATAACATTATTCCTTGGCTTTTTCTTCTTCCAAGAATCACTAGATGAAATATCAATTGTCTTATTCCTAGAATTACTGGAATAAATCTCAATTGGACTCTCATCATCTACACATGCAAGGCATAACAAAATCAAACCGAAAAAAATTGATAACGTAAGTTAATTTGAAAAACATTATCAACAACAAATCATAACTTACTCTCCTTCTTAACTTCATCATATATAAATTTTTTCCCTTCAGATACTTCATCATCTTCTATTTCTATAGGATGATCACGAGAATTAACAATGCAATCAACTTTAACCACATTCTCATTTAAATAATCCTTCTTCCTGGATACCATTCGTTGAGATGCAATTGTAAATTTCTTCATGAGTTTAAAATTCGAACTTTGCCTATTCATGTTCACTTTCACATATAACAAAGCTTTAAACGCAAACATTATGTTGATTAATGTTGAAATACATAATCTAATATTAGATAAACCTATAAGAAAACCCTCTGAATAAAATTTGAAACAACATAAACGTAGACCTTGAAACAATTACGCATAAACGGTTACATCAATTTGAAAACCGTCTACTAACTTCTCACTTACGGTTATATTAAAAAAAATAACTACAAAATACAATTACATTTATAACCTTTTAATTAAACAATTTATAAAAAACAAACAATTACGTGTGATATAAAAACAACAACTACTCTAATACACATGTTTCTTTCCTATTGGTTCTTACCATTTTCACATCTTACTCTCATTTGTACACGAACTCATTTCTATATATATATATATATATATATATATATATATAATATATATATATATTATATATATCGGGGCCGG